TTACATTGTTACAGGAATGAGACCAATACAAATAGGACACTATTATATAAAAGGCATGCACATAGTTTGTATATTTACATAAGTGCATACAGTATTCAAGTAGAATGTATTGAACACTTTCATTTATGATGAGACTTTATGAAAAGGACAGGCAAAGCTAAAAATGGCTCTGACTTCCTCCTCAAAGGTGTTCCAGACTCTTAAACAAAATGTGCCCTACCTTTAACATGCCTCCTTATGATATGCATTGGCTTAATTTGAATGGAGAACACATAAAACATTAACAGCATAAGAATTTGGTAAATTGTCTTGCATTTAAATATATCCATGCAGATGTCAATGTTAGTTGGCCAAAACAAAATAAAAGATGAAGCACAGCTCTATTTGAGAAAGCTGTGAAAGCTGAGAGGAAAACATGCTGAATAGGTTTTAAAATGCTGTGCTGCAGAGGGTGCTCTTTCACCAAATACATCGTGGGTCTTCCAGCTGCCACATCAGCAGAAATAAGTTATACTGCATGTCTGGCGGAGTGAAGGGTTGAGGTTTTCATCTTCATTCTTTTCTTCATGCAGAAGGTTCGTTGGTCTAGGGGTATGATTCTCGCTTAGGGTGCGAGAGGTCCCGGGTTCAAATCCCGGACGAGCCCTTCTTTTAAACTCTGGAGTTCAAAGTCACAAGAGCTATGATGCAAAGGACATAGCCAACAGTTTGATATATATAGATAGATTTGATGCAACCTACACAAGAAATAACAATGTGTTAAATATAAATTGTCATTTGGGACGAATTGAAAATAATTTGATCATCCCAGTTTTCATTAAACTACATTATTTTTCAACAGAGTTTTTGATCTCAGCAAGTACTTTTTTGTAGCGTGTCACACAATAGCAAACAGGCCCGGCCTCAGCCTCTCAGCGACTTTGTTTGTTTCCTGCTGTCGCTATAGTGAGTTCAATTGAGTGTTGTGCATTTGTATGTGTATCCAATGCTCAGGTTATAATAAGTATTTTGTGCCTCTACAGTGACATGTTTATAAAAAAAAACAAAGGTTTTAGGTTAGTGACAGTTTTAGAGTATTGGTGAATTCCCTTTATGTTGGAAGTGTGTCACAAAGAAACTTGCACTTTTAAGATGTTTTAACATTTAATGTTCATTTCAGGTTCATATCAGTATAATTCTATATTCTATAATAATTCGTATGTATATCTGTTGTATACTGTATATTTATATTTCTAATTGAAAATAAAAATATTTCAGCATCTGAAGTAACTTCAAGCCTTGATCTCCTTTTATACATTTGGGTGATGTTTAATGTTCTAAGTTAGGTCAGTAAGCAGTTTAAGGAAGCTGGGGAACTTGTCATTATAATAAGAGTTAGAAATAGAAAACGCTAGTTGACTTAACATGAAAATGTAAGTTCAATTGCTTCATGAGTCAACATAATTTGAATTTGTCAGTTGGTATAAATATAGTTAGTTATCCTAACTTAGAATTGTGAGTTAAGATAAGGTAGAAGTTAAAGTTGATTTGACTAGATAATGAACATTTCTTGAATCAATAATGTAAAATTGTAAGTTTCTCAAACTCAAAGTTATAGCAATGAATGATCATTAATAAAATAACTTGTATAATTTAACATTGTGAGTTGAAACAAAGTACATTTAGACATTAAGTCAACTCATAAGGCAGCCCTTGAACTTATGTTTTTAAGTTAAAACACCCTATTTATTTTTACAGTGAATAAAATCATCCCAGCTCTACAGGACAAGCACTTTTTGCTGCACGTGCACGACTACACCTGGAGTTGGAGGTGGATCTCAGACTTTGAAGCTGGCTTCACTTGCTTCAGCCCTCTGACTTTCTCTCTGTACATCTACCGCTGCACCTCCAATCACCATTCCATTATGTTCCTGAAATTTGCAGATGACACCGCCCTTATTGGACTTGTCTCTCGTGGGAATGAGTTTGTCAACAGGTATCTAATCATGGGGACTTTGTGCAATCACAACAACTTAGAACTCAACGCTCTAAAAACAGGGAACATGACTGTGGATTTCTGAAAAAAAGGAGACCCACCGTAGAGTCTTTCCGCATCCTCCTTCCCATTACACAGAACCTCAACTGGGAGCAGAACTTCATATCCATCACTTAAAAGGCCCAGCTGACAATGTTCTTTCTGTGGCAGTTGGAGATGTTTCTTACGCCTCCAGGACCCTGAGGCTGGCAGGTATGATTGTGGCTGAGCCCTCCCACCCTGGACACTTTAATTCGCTCCCCGGCATGAGACTGCTGACTTTCATGAAATAAACTTCTCGCCAATGAACATATTCCGTCAGCTACTGGCCTCAGAGAGAGACTCTATACAAATGTGAATAGACAATGCGTTACATTACCGCACATCATGTGAGACCTCATACTTCATACTTTAACCTTAGCTTATTCCTCTGTATATTTTGAACAATCTGTTATACCTCTTAAAATGCACAGCTTCCATTTTAAAATATGTTAAAGGTAGCTACGGCACATATCACATTTTCAGAGTGATTTCCACTGGTGTAATGTAACTAAGTACATTTACTCAAGTACTAGTACTATTCTGAGAGACTTGTACTTTAGTATTTAATTTGTTTGCTACTTTGTACTTCTACTCCACTTCAATTCAGAGGTAAATGGTGTATTTTTACTACACTACATTTATTTAATACATTTAGTTACTTTACATATTTGGATTATTGATGTGGAATATAATCAACACTTAAATCAGACTTTAGTTACCCCTGTAGTAAATTGACAAGCTACTCTGCAGTATACAAAGTCATTAAAACTAGCTGCACCTTTACCAGCTTTGATAACACTTTAATGATCAATAATTATAAATAAAACATATAATATATATTATTCTGAAATAGACCAATCTGCATAATTAGTACAGTTTTGATGATAATACTTTTCTACTTTTACTCGAGTAATATTTTTGAATGCAGTATTTACTTGTAACAGAGTATTCCTACACTTTAGTACTTATCCACCTCTGGTGATTTCTCATGTTCTTATAAAGCTTAGTTTTTCTAAATGTTAACTCGTGGTAAACATTTATTTTTTATTTAAAAAAATGTTATACTATTATTGAAAATAGTTAAAATACGATTCTATATTGTCTTTTTTTTTTTACAACTTAATCGATTTTAACTTCTATATGTGTTAACCTACTTGGTTATTTGTATATCTTAAATTAATGTTGATTTCCACTTCTTATCAGGCTTAATTGTTAACTAATTAATTGTTGTGATTAATTGTTAAAGGGCCTTTCTGACCTGCTGCAAAAAGCAGGTAGGAACTAAATTCGCACGTTTGAGAACGTCCCGGGTTGTTTTTACTGTGACACCAAACGTCATTGATTTCATTGATCATATCGGCCAGCTAAGCTTGGTAAGTTTAAATAACACAGACATCATTAATCGTTATATGAAGCAGTCATAACCCTAAATACATCAGTTTTCTCGGTTGTGCCGCTGGCAGCATTGCTTTTGCATCATGACACGATGTTCGGCTGCTGACAACAGCCAGCATGTATGCTAACGAAGCTAACGCTAGCAGGGGGTTTGTAGCACACAAGGCATTTGCGTGTCCACAAATGTATCATTCCAGACATTAAACATTTCAAGTAGTTAAATTGCATATTGGGTTATACATGCATGTATTGCTAGAATAATGAGTCTCCTGTCTTAAAAGGCGTACGTTCACCGGCTCCATGTCGCTACCGTCGCCTTAAGTAAGGGTTATTGGATCAAGAGGGCCGACACAATCGAAAAGCGGTGCTCCATTCTGAAGAGCTCCTATTTTACGCTATCGTCGCTTCATAGCATATCGGTTGTGCAATCCGAAGGGTTTTATTGGGCTCTGTTCGATGCCAAAAAGGGGTTTAAATTGCAAAGGTTTATATGACTTGCGATGATTAAAGATGACCACAAGGGAGAGCCAAAACCTTATGGGTTAAGTTCAGTTAAGCCCTCTATTAAAAACAAACCCACACAAGCTGTTATATGTAGTTACATGTGTGTTATGTTTGGTGACCTGTCATGAAACCAAAAATAACATCATACAGCCTAAAAATAAGCCTCAAATTCACATTACATATCAAAGATGTGTTCATCTTGGGGATGTTAAGCCACCACCTCATGCAATTTATTCTTAATTTTTTTCTGTCAATTTACTTAGAATTAATAAACAAGACCAGCTACTTCTTTACTTTTATATGGTCACTTTTGTGTAATATACTGCTACTTGGTAATGTATTTACCATGGTGTGCTTATCTTTGTTTATACTTATTGTGTTTTTTTATTACCAATGTGTCCCTCCTTTTTTATATAATATTTAATCTACTCGTTTGACTTAATATGTAGTACTATACTTTTGCTGTTGTAATACCGTCAAAGTCCTGTTACGAGACAAATAAAGGAATTCTGATTCTGAAGTGTGACATTGGTTCAACCAATTTCATTTCACTTTTACAGCGATCCAATAAGAAGACATACACATAATATAGAGGCAAATATCAACGTGTTAGAAAGTTATAACCCTCTCCATTGGATTTTTGTTGCGCTTTCATGTTCAAGTTTTATTAAATGGATTAGTTAAATATAATACTGACTTGTACTCTAAGGTGGTTTTGTTTGGTCAATACTTGAAGGTAAGTGGTGACTATGTGCAGAAGTCAATAGCAGTGGTTTAAAAGGGTTTTGCTCATGGGACTTAAACAGAGTATTACTGGCTTATATTGATTCCTTTTCTATATAGTCCAGCAAGGGAATAAATCAATCAATGGAATCCACAAATTCACAGCGTCTGTCCCCAGAGGAAGCCCATTTAATAAAACCCAGATATTGACTTATTCATCATGTAGTCTTTAAGGGCCCAACAGAAATAGAATGTGCCAAGCCTTGAGTAAAATATATTTTGTAGAAGAAACTTACTAAGTAATGTGTGTGCTTGTGTGTAGGTGAGTTGCAATGGAAGAGGCAGCGGCAACGGCAACAGGTGTCGACCTCAGCAGGAAGTTTGTGTCGGAAACTGAGCTTGATGAGAATAGAAAGAAGAGACAGGAAGAATGGGAGAAAGTCAGGAAACCTGAAGATCCAGAGGGTAAGAAGAACACATGCACTTACACTCAGATGGATCCAAAACCAACCAAAATGTTTAAATACAGACAGCTGTGCATACATCCACATATTTGTTTGTTTACTCCCCAGAGGTTCCTGAGGAGAAGTATGACCCACGTACTCTCTTTGAGCGATTACAGGAGCAAAAAGACAAAAAACAAGAGGAGTTTGAGGAGCAATTCAAATTCAGTGAGTCACTTTTATCGTTACATATTTTGTTGCTTATGTGTATATTAGGGTTGTCCCAAATACCATTTTTTGGGCTCCGGATATTCGGTAGTCATCAGCAGCGAATATTCGGATATTCGGCCCGGGGGGGGTAGTAATCAGCAACGAATATTCGGCGCTTCAACACGTGTATTTTCGGTTATTCAAGGCATTCATTTTGGTATTGTTTTTTTTATAGTTATTTGTTAATGTAACTAACCCAATTTGTGTGCTTTGAAATGGTAAAGGATATTGCATTGTGTTTGTTACTTTTGTTGCATTTGTATATATGTCTTACATGGCTTCCTATTTTGTATGGACGTGCTTTTATTTTGAAGGAGAGTTAGCGCTGTTGACAGGAAGTTGTTGCTATGGAAACAACGTGACGGAGAAAAGGAGCGGAGATTAAGGGAGAAAAGTAATATCTACATATAAAGAATGAGAAAGTAAAGGATAAAGTTTATGGTTAAGTGTTAGCACCCCCCGAAGAGGCACAAGCTCTTACGTTGATATTGGAGATTTCAATAAATTCAATTTGGCAGCCGCAGTGCAGCACGACTGCCAAAAAAAAGAACAATAACGAAATGGAAAACCGAATAGTAGGCCAACGACCAAATATTCGCATATTCGGGTACAGCCCTAGTGTATATATATGTGGTATAGTGCTACACTCATCACAATGCATTTTCAGCAGTACTATTTAATAACGTGACGGTGTCAGCGTTCAAAACTAAAATCTCTTATGGTTTGTTTTCTGGAAAATGCTATCACTCCACTGCCATGTGTTGAGAGCATGTTTGTTTCCATGGTGACAGGGAACATGGTGAGGGGATTGGACGAGGATGAGAGCAGCTTCCTGGACGAGGTCTCCCGGCAACAGAGCCTTGTGGAGAAGCAACGCAGGGATGAGGAGAAACAGGAACTGTTGGAATACAGAATATCCTTTATCACATGTTGGCTATGTAGAAAACATATGAATTTAATTAGCTGTGGGGATTTGACTTACTATTCAAATCTGTTATCTTCCATAAAGCAAAAGCAAAGCTTTCCTAAGCACCAATTGTATCTAACACAGAAATTATTAAGTTTAGGCAAAAGATGTAATTCATACTGCCCAGTAACAAAAATGATCATAATATTATTGCAAATAAGACAGGCTATTTTGCCAGGTGCTGAGATTTTATCTCGCTACCCACTCAAACTCAGTCTCAAACTCAAGCCGACAAAGCAGCAGGTTCTGAAATCAACTTTTTTTGCTAGCACATTTTCTTTTTTCTTTTATAGGCCACTAGTAAGTAGAGATGTGTATCAGGTGTGAAAAACTTGACTACCGGTATATTGAAACATGGGGTAGAGAAGACATACAGTGACAAGCAGGCATGCATTCATGTGTGTGACTGATTTGTTGTAATGATGGTTATTGGTCAGAACTTGATGAACTACGACTGTCAATCAAAAGAAAGATGGTTCGGCTCTAACATTGTTAGTATTTTACAGCAGTTGCAAGAGACTTTTAAATGTGTCTTATCCATCAAACCCTAACTTTCTGCAGATTTCTGTCAGAGTTGATGCAGTTACTACTTCTTCCTGATAGAAGCCACAGATTATCATTGAACTTGGGAAATGCTAATCGTTCTCATACACTGAGATCATTGTTAGTTGTGGTAACCTTAGAACAGGATAGGATGTTTAAAGCAAGAAACATTTTTAGTGTCAATATACAAAAAAACAATAAAAAGTTGGTCACAAAAAAAAGAAATCTTTGCATATCTGTACTGATATTTCTTAGTAATTTTCACTCGATGCAAAACTATAGCTATAAGATATTTCTGTAATAGTCTTACATTGACCAATATACTGGCCTAGCTGATTTTTTGTTCCTCTAGGTAGCTATGTAGGAAGATGGCACATCCATTCTTTAATCTGTTTACTAAGCTCTGATTGGCTCACTGTTTCTCTAACCGGAAAAGGAAGCAGCTATGAGTAGGTGCAATCACTGAACAGATCTTGGATGTGGGCAGCGGGTCAGAGGTCTGGAACCAGCCCATTTTGTTTGCCAAATTCAATCTGCATCATATACCTGCATTATATAACCTCACATTTTTGCCCAAGAAAGAACCCTAAGAATGATATGTATTTAGGACAGACCACTAAATTAATAAAATAATGTTTTTTTCCTCTCTGTCACTCCCTCTTTGTCTTTGCGGACAGACAGGGTTGTGACGGACAGGTTTTTCTGCAGTTGAAGAAGAGAATAGGTTGTCGTGGAAACTGTATCATAGGCTGGTAACTACGGTGACCGTCTAAAGCAGTTGCTGTGAACACTAAGTACACACACACACACACACACACACACACACACACACACACACACACACACACACACACACACACACACACACACGACGG